TTTTAGATAGGGAATAAAAGTTACAACTATAAAAGCTAACACACCAAGATATAAATAATTCGGGACTTGTAAATGAGTAAAGATAAGGTTTTCCACACGTAAGATAGTTTACACCAAGATATAGTCAACTATAATGCAGAAGAAAGAATATCAGTACATGCCAGCTAAGATGTGGTTATATTAAAAAAGTTCTAAGAAAGCTTCTTTTTGCTTCTAGCATTTGCTAAAGAACTTTAAGAACACTAATGAAACATATGCATGTTTTCTGTGCTTACAGAAATTGACTGAATGAACCAGTTGCAAAGTCTTCATAGTCATGAGAATGAGTATTTTAAGTGATGTGAGCCAAGGCTCCACAAAATATCGGAACAATATCTGGGCTACCATCAGAAATTGAATGCTGGCTTTGACTAAAAACTGAATCAAATTCAACTGGATTAGCTTTCCGTCTTGCAAATACGAACAAAAACGTCTTTAGCTTACAAAATAAGTTGCTCGCCACACACAAACTTTACAGGAATTAAAAAAAAATTATATTGACCTTTTGTAACAGCGCTAGGAGCCTCATAAAAACCGGCAATTAGAGCAACATGTCCAGGCCTTGACTCAGTAGGGGGCCGAACATGAGACACTCCAGCGACCTTGATTTTGAATCACACTCCTAAAAATTGGTGCTCTGAAATTCCCTTCTGAATCCGGCTCAAAAAATTTATCAGCCCGTAAACCATCCGCTTTCCAAGACCCCTTTAATATATTTTGCAATATGTTCTCATTAAAATTTCCCAAACAAACACCAAAAGTAGCAAACACAGATATGCTCAAAACGCACACTTTTAACTAGTTCATTGAGACAAATTAAGAAACGCAATACTCAAAAAATTTACCAAATAGCTGAATTCCATCACATGCACTTCCAATAAGGAAACACTAACACGATCAAAACGAGGACGTTCTAAATCATTTTTTACTGAGGCAAACGAGCAAACACCTTGTGCACAAAAGTTTCGAGAATGTACCCACTAAGAGGATGAGGCGTTTGGCGGGCGCCTTGAAGCAAGGGGTGACGGGATCCATGCCATGAACAATAGGAGTCTTGAAATAGATATCGAAAACGCTTAGCATGTACAAAGCGTAAAGGATCACACCGAGAACCACTAGCCACATCTCTCGTGTCTTGAGCCATTTTTTCCTGGGATTGCTGCTTTTAGATAATTGTTTCCTGCCCAAGATCCCATCAATGTCCATGCCTTTGTCTTCTCGGTGTTTCCGTTTGCAATCTGCGTTTTTATTTTCCGTTTTCTTGGAGTTTTTGTTGAGTGACACACTGAAAGCTTTCAGTTGGTCAATGAATGAGGCGAAACTTTGACCACTTGTTATGGTTAAACAGCTTATCAGAAATCGAGGATTCTAATATGATCAGTTATGACGCCTACACAGCTTATGATAGATCGACGCACGTCGATTCTAATATGATCAGTTGTGAAGCCTACACACGTCAACATTGATCCCCAAACTCCAGCCTCCATCGCTGTCAATCACCGTTGACATCGACTGGATGGCGTGCACTAACCTGTTCAATGTTCATCCATTTTATTAGTTTAAAAAAAATTAAATTATGTATTTAATTAACTAAATTTTTACATAAATTCATTAATTAACCAAAAATCAGAGGATTAGTTATTGTGGATTTCAATATCTAATCATCCCAAAAAATTATTGAAACAATAGAACTAAAGATACCCACTAAAATAATGATACTATCTATTAGGGTGTCTAAAAGAACCGATTGGAATCGGAACCGACGGATACCAAGCATTTGGTTCCGATTTCTGTCCAGAACCAGCTGTCAATGGGTAGGTTTCGGTTCCAAATTTTTGGAACCGTTACTGTACGGTTCTGGTTTCAGTTCTTATAGTTAGGAACCGGAACCGAGAACCGAGACTAATATAAAATAAAATTAAAGAGTGGGGGGTTAATAAAAACTTTTGTAGAAAAAGTAATATGAATACATTTATATTTATATTTTATAACATTTAAAGTAAGTTGGTTTGACTTTTGAGAATCTATCTTTACAAGGTAATGGAGTTTGTAATTTGTAATTTTATTTTTGTTAACAAGTTCTAGGTGGGGGGTATTTGTAAGTTTTTAAGGGTTTTTTTTGCCATTTTAAAAACTTTTGGGTGGTCATTGTAATTTTATAGGGTACCCAGAACCTGAACCGGAACCGTTGTTACAAGTTCCGATTCTGGGTACCTAGGAACCGGAACCGTCAGTTCTGGTTCCGATTCCTTCAAAAAATGTAAGGTATCCGGAACTGAACACCCCTACTATCTATATTTTATAACCATAGTTTTAAAACCTTTGACTAGACTGACCAATTTGATCGGGAACTGGTCTTTAAACCGGTCTACTGATGACTAAAACAAACTGAATTGACCCGAGGTTGAATCGATAAGAATAATGTTGAACCACTGTTCAACCGCTAGGTCAGAGAATCGGTGACTAAACCAGGTTATTAAAATACAATTTTAAATGAAAATTTTTAGCAGTGCCATTTATCTTGCTGCAATGATGAAAAGAAGAGCAGTCAAGAGAAGAAGAAGCACTGTCTTGGAAGCCATTGCGAAAGGAAGAGGTAGCAGCCGAAGAAGCTAGCTGGCTATGGCAATCGATCGAGGGGTGAATGCAAAAGCTGATAATTGTGTTCTCTATATATAGAGATGAATGCTAAGGAGGTGAAAGAGTGTCAGAATAAATTTGTCTAGACATGCTTATGAGAAAATTGAGTTAATTGATGAAGACTTCATGTTCTTAGACCCTTCAATCATAATTATGCCAGGCGATCTTAATATTTTAAACGACCTCTAGTTTTGTAAATTGCTCTCGACCCCCCACTGTTTAACAGTTGTTACTTATTTTTCGTTAATTTTGACAGAACAGGGATAAAATAGTCAATGCAAAATGCAACCTAAAATATAAGATTAATCAATAAATAAAATAATTTCATAAAAGGATTTGTTAATCTTTTTCTGGATAAAACGCCACCGCTTATTCTTCAGCAGCCCCCATCGACTCACTCTCACACCACACAACCGTTGCAAAGCAGCAAACCGTCATCAGCCCTTCCCACTTCCGCAAAGCCCAACCACCGCACGGACCCTCACCCCTTCCTTCCCAGCACCTCCACCTTCCAGCGAATCCCCAGTGGCCACCCACCCTACCTTCCTTTCCAAAATAAAACTTTAAACTAAAATCATCAGCCACCGAAATCAAAATCCACAAATGAAAAAAAAAAGTATGATAGAAATCCTGAAATTCAATAGCAGGGATGAAAATCATTGTGGGCTGTACTCGGTGAGGGGCTACGCTGGAACTGGGACGCGTGAGATGGTGGTGGGTGGGTGGGTGCGTGCGTGAGAGTGGGGGTGCGAGGGGTTAGATAAAGAAGAGATTGGGGGAAGGAAGGTAGGAAAATGTGCATATAAATAGTCAAAGGATTAAAAGAGGTATTTTATTACTCTGTATGAGTAGTGGGCAGATTAAAAGAGGATTAAAAATGGTTGTAGGACATATGAAAACTCACTGTTTTCGTGTACACTTCTGAATCTTCCTTTGAATTCTTGAAAGCAAAATATGATTTATGTTTACATCACTGAAAAAACTTTTTGCAAACATATATATATACTCTAGCAATTTTAGAACCTTGCTCATTCTGTATTATACCAAGTATAAACACTTTACTTCATATACTGATGTCTAACATCATCATTAAGAAGATTTAACAATAGAAATTATAAAGCACACAAAAAACATAATGCTCAATGATGGCGGTCGTAGAGCAGTTTACATGTTAATAATAACAGTTAGCTGTAAAGATGTTAATAAAAAGCAGGTTGTTAGATTTTATGTTGTAACGGTAGTGCTTTCCTGGTATAGATGTTTTTCAGTTGTCTATGCAGTAACATTCAGGCAAATTTCTTAGACAATTTCATTCTCATATTTCATTTTAAGCTTCAAATTCTCTATTTTTCTATCCCCTTTATACTGGATTTGATGCCAACTTATCTCTTTGGAAACATGGACCTCAAGTTTTACTTCTTAGAAAAAAGTGAATAGGTTTTTGTAGGAACTTAGAAACAGAGTTGGTGTACATGGAGTGGTTAATTAAGCTCTGTTATGGCCTCCTGGGTTTTGGAGCAATCTTGAGGGGAAAAGGGCTTTGGCTGTATGGGTTTGTTTTTTGGCACTGCAAAAGTATCAATTAGTTTACTTGGGAATTCTCATTTTTTTATTATAATTTTGGTTCCAAACGCAAAGATGTCGTCCTTCACATATTATTTTTTATTTTCTATGGAGCAAGAGAAGCCTCGGATTTTGGGTTGAATATGAGATTGAACATCAATTTGATTTGTGTAATTGCCATCTTAATAAGTTGATACAAGTTTTTTACTCTGTTTTGCTTGTGTTTCTTGATTTCACAGTTGAGTGTTTACGTGAATATGGAATGGAGGATATTTAGAGAGGTGTCTCTAAGCGGATAGAATGAAGATGTGGAATATTTGGTATCCCAATCATATCCATATTGACACATCTCATCTCTGTTTTAAGCTTTTATTGGGCATATAGGGTTTCAATCTAAAGCTTCGAATTCCCTTTTCTTTATCCTTTTATTATGTACTCAAAATGGTAATTTAAAAAACAGAGCTGAAAAACTCAATGTTGATAGTGCAAATAATGCATCAACACAAAATTTAAAAGACAACATATTTTAGGTGGTGAAAATGTATCGTCTTGTTTGCCCAAAGTGTTTGGCAACTTGGAGAAATTGGAATACATAAAACAAGTACAACAAGTGAAACAACAGCACAAATGAATAAACAAAGGGCGCTCCACCTCCAACCAAATACAAAAATAATCAGTTAAGATGGCAGTAAGAAAGTTCCTCTTCACCTAGAGGAAATGGAGCTGTGATGCATCACAAACTATTAAAAGGAGTGACCTTAATCTTCTTTGGAACTCCGCACATTCTGTAATCACAAGGCATATCTCATTGAATTTAGAAAATAAAAGAAAACATGAATTCAACCAATTCAATTCATCAAACATTAGAAATGCATGGGGCATTTTGGTGAGTCAATAATATACCATATTTTTGAACAAATGTTGTACGGTGGAATTAAGGTTGCCTTCCCAACATTCTTCTACTTCATCCTCTCCTTCTGTCAATTGTAGTTTTTGTAGCTTTGGTGTGGTTATAACTCCATGACAAAAAGTCTCCATCTTCAAGCATTGTCTGACAATTACTTTTTTCAAGCGTGGGAATTCAAGAGTATAATCCCCACAACAAAAGCTTTTAAGGCTTGACAAACAGTGAAGTTCCAAACAGTCCAATCTGTTGAAAACAATTGGATCCTGCAGTACTTCATCCCCCAAATGTGTTATAATTTCCTCCATCATTTTGCAATCAGATACATTCATTCTTGTAAGTTGATCAAGAGTTTTAGCTTTTAAAGGGGTCAATAAATATCTCAATCCATCACACTTTGAAACTTGCAAATTCTCCAAATTCTGGAAAGACACTGTTGTTGACCATGAATTTTCTAAACTGCCACATCCAGATACTTTCAAAGTCTTCAGATTTTTAAAAGCATTGCTAGGCTGAGAATCTCCTATCCATAGATGTAGCAACCTGGGCATTTCAGTTAACTCTAGCTCTTCCAAGCGAGGGAATGCATCCTGGGAAAGCAGTCAATCACAAAAGAAAGTGTTGAAACCAAAAAGAAGAGGTGATTAGTATAGGTGGGTAGCACTAAATATGGTGAGATTAGAGATATATGGGGACTTATTTTTATCAATAATGATAATGATGATAAAGTTTTCCAGTAAGAAAAATTATTTCAATTATGAATAATACTACACATTTCAAGTAAAATTCAAACATAGCTAATAATAAATATGTTTAACATAATCTTATTAAATAAAATAAATAAAAAAGAGAGGCAAAATTAAGAAAATTTGTTAGAATGCCTTTACTTAAGAGTTGTAGACATGATTTATTTGAGTATTGTGCCTCATACCTTGTAAACCAAGAATAGTGGTTGTTGACTTTCTCCATGAGTCCCTCGAATGCTCAAAAATTCTGAAGCAAATATCTCCATATTAACACATCCATGTGCCTTCAACTTCTTTAAATTTGGCCATTCAGAAATATGTACTTTTGGGTATAAACTTTTGAGACTAGGTAGCATATGTAGATACAGCCTAGTTAACTTAGAGAACACAAACCTAGGGGCTGCTTCCTCGTTATCAACAATTTCCTCCACCTCACTAGACCTTTTCTCAAGCACTTCAAATATCTCTTCAACTGAATCACAATTTCGTACTTGCAACCACTCTAGTTTCTTGTGTCTTCCAAGCATATTAGATGGAAAAACACTTACAAGTCTTCTACAAAAGCATACGGACACACGATTTAATTTGTAGAAGGAATCTGAAGAGAGCTGATCGTCCCAGATCTTCACCAATTCATCAGCATAATCGATTGACAATATCTCCAAACTGGGGAATCTTACCTGAAGAATTCATTTACAATTACAATTACGGCATAACCATCACTTATTAGTAAATCATAAACATATGAATTAGCTGTGATTAAAAATGAGAAAATAGATTAACTTGAATCTAGATAAAATAGATAGGAAAGAGAAAAATTGAAAACAAAGTAAGGGGACGGATTACCTTTTTATCAAAAAGAGATTGCATGCGAGTATAGTTCTCCTTTGCACTCATTTCTGCATTTTCTTTGCTTGATGATGTCATCCCACCACATGTAGAATTGGAGATGAATGCTTGAACAACAGGGCAATTTTCAATCCACAATCTGAATAAGGAGGACATTTCAACAAAATTTGCAGTGGAGTTGCAGAATGTTGTGAGTTTTGGAAGATCTCTAAGCTTCAGCTCGTATAATTTAAGAAACAACATCGTACTTGATCTTTCTTCATCTTCATCTTCATCTATTACTCTTTCCATAAACTTACAATTAGATATCTCAAGCTCCTTCAGTCTAAAAAGACTTTTGACCATAGAAGATGGAAATAAATATTTTAAATGATCAAAGCCATCGATGACCAAGATTGTTAAATTCTGGAAGCAAGAAGATGCTTCCAAGCTGGGTAATACAACCTGCAAGCATATAAAATGTTTGTTTTACAAACAAAACTTCATTTTGTTTTAAAAATATGTGAATTTCTTTGATAAAACTTATCATCGTGTATAAAGAATTGAAACAGACTTACCTTTACGGTGAAAAGAGATGCAAGATAGATACAAAACTCCTCCATATGTATCTTTGGACAGTCCTTAATGATAATAGTTTCCAAGGGGGGACATTCCAAAATATCATTTTCCGAATAGAAGCTTGTCAAGTTAGGCAATGACTCAAGCATAACAGAGTTTAATTGAGGGATTATAATTTTATCACTCACTGCATCCTTTTGCCCATCCTTTTTGATGATTTCTTCTATCAAAGCACAATTCTTCACTTCTATCTCTTGGAGTTGAACAAGACCCAACAGTATAGATGGTGTAAATACATATCTCAAGCTGTTGCAATTGTCAATTTTCAATGATTTCAGTTTGTTTAAGCCCAAAATTTCTTGACGATTTTCCTCCAATGCAAGTCCATTAGCATCTAGCCTTTCCAAATCAAACACTTGTTCTAGTGACTCACAACTTCTTACATCCAACATTTCCAGATTTTTGAAGTGGCATAACACATTGGATGGAATAGCACTTGACATATCTGAAAACTTATCCACTACTAATGACTTTACTTTCCAAAATAAGTCGATTGGTATCTGACCATTCCATATTTTTTCTTTCATGTTCGGGAATTGAGAGAGTGTCAAATGTTCAAAGTCACGGAAACCAACCTATGAAACCCAAAATTTTGGATTAATTAAAACATGGTACTATTGGGATTTATATTTTTGAGCGGCCAAAACATAAACAAGTAGCTAAAGCAATAAAGCTTAAGAATAATAATTCATTGAAGATTGACAATGATGTTTTAACTCCTATTCAACAATTTTCACATTCCTGTAAGAAATATTTCTTTCCCAAATTACTAATATAAAACCTTTTATGTGGATGGTCTTCAACGTGTAATTTAAGAATTTTGTTAATGTCATTAAAAGTATAAAAGAAAAAGGAGTATATCAACATATCTTTGAACAAAAAGATTTAACTAAAAAAAAAAAAACGTATTTCTATTAGTACATAAATGTGACAAAACTTTTGAATTTTTATAGTTTTAATTAGTACCTTCATTAATAAACCACCCAAAACTTAGACATGAATGAATACTATGGAACGATTTGTAATCTACGGCTGCTCCTTACTAGACAAGAAGCAAAGAAAATAGGCAATACTTGAATATATAATAAGAAGATAAAAAAGTACTGAGTTAAAATCATCACCATATATCCATGAATATATAAGATCTATTGATAGTTATGACAGAAAAGGGAAATAGAAAAATTTTGTGAATAAGTGAGTACCATGTGTATAAACATTTGCTGGATAGCAGAGTTGAGGTCCTCCTTCCAAAAATATCTTGGGTCATCTTTTCTCATCAATTGTACTCTCTTTAGCAAAGGTGTGCTTAAGACTCCTTGAGAGAAGATCTTTAATTTTGGGCATTGACTGACAATAACTTGCTCCAAACAAGGGAACCTGAAGGAATAATTGGCGGAGCAGAAGAATGTGAGGCTTGATAAACGGTAAAGCTCCAAAACTTTCAATTGGCCAAAAACAATCTCTTCTTCTCTGTCTCCCTCGTTTGCTATTACCTCTGTCACTAACTTGTAGTCTCTTATTCTCATTGTTGTGAGATTGACAAGAGTTTTGGCTGCTGAGCATGCAAGTACGTTGACTAGTCCATCGCAACTCCTAGTGTCTAGAGTTGTAAGATTTTTGAAAGACATCGCGGATGGCATCAAAATTGTCAAACAATGGCATCCATCTACTTCTAGAGTTTGAAGATTTTGAAGAAATGTGTCCCCTCGTAAATCTTGTTTCCATATATGTCCTTGTTCATAGGGGAATAGCTCTTTGAAACTATTACCACAAAACAAAAGTGATTCCAAACAATTTAACCTTTGAAGGAAACCAAACAGAGAAGCAACAGATTCATCATCAAAGTTACCCAGCCCAAGTTTTTTTAGCTTGCCAAAGCTCTCAGCTAGATCACAGTGGAGGAATGTCAATTTGAAGTCATGTGCATCTAAACCCAATGCTTCCAAATTTGGTATGACCTGAGAATTGATGAACAAGCAAATAAGTAGGTGTTAGCATTCACTCATCAACAAGTTCACTGATATACACAAAAAAATGCTACGATTTTTTCATATATATGGTACGGGTGTCACAAGTTATATACTTAAGAAGCAATCAGTATCATTATTGAGAATGCAACCTGTACTCAAACAACAAAGAAATGCTAGATTTTGGACTGCTAATGACTGGTACTTTCTAACGAACTAAAACTGCAAAAGTTTGTTATGTTTCCCTCCCAAAATCAAGTTGCAAGTCAAGTGGCATAAGGTAGTTAGGCAAGTTGATCAAGTTGTTGAAGGTTGTTATGCAAGTTGGTCAACTTGTTGAGCAAGTTGATTTACTTCCCAGCAAAATCAACGGCAGTTAAGAATTTTTTTGTTTTTCTGTTACAGCTCAATGATTGAGATCTTCTTCAATTTTTTGTTCAGTCATTTACAATATAAAAGAACATCCCCAGTACTAAATCTTAATTTTCATTTGTTGTACCATATCATACTAAAAAAATGCGAAACCAAATAAAAAAATTTATGTTATACTTCGTAAAATGGAAAATTGGCCATCCCATAGTATTTGTGCACATATATAATCAGAATAAGCGATGATCAGATTAATTTGAATAATCATAAACATGTTGCCTTTTTTAGTGAGTATGGATGAAACTTAAATCATAATACCTTTTCTAACAGAAAAATGGCAGGTTGGCTTTTCCCATCATCGTTCCTTTGGAAGCTAGGAAATTCTGAACCATATGTTTTTATTTTCTTGCAACCATACACAGCCAAACCATTTAGCATCGGCCAATCTATTGTATGCAACCCTGAGTAGAAACATTTGAGTTCCGGTAAATTATCAAGCTGGATGTACGTTAATTGTGGAAACAAAAATCTAGGGGCCCCATTAACTTCCTCCTCGGAAACAATTTTCTCCAACCCACAGGAGATTAAGCGAAGGTCATTAAGTTGCACGAGACCAGTAGCTATAGTAACTGGAAAGAGACTTTTCATACTCCAACAAATTTTAATGGGTAACTCTTTCAGATTCTGAAAGGTGAGAAGTCTGTGAGAATTAGATGGAACAATAGTCTTTAACTTTTCACAGAATTTGACTCTTACTTCTTTTAGTTTGCAAAAGGATTCCACATGGAGTTGTTGGTTGTGCCATATCAATTGCAAGTTATCCAAGTGTAATAGTACCATCACCTCCAAGCTTGGAAAAAAAACCTGTAGCAAACAATCCATGATGTCAATACTTTTGTATAAAAGACCCACAATCTTAGGATGAGAAAGATGTCCAAATATTGTGTAAGGTTGATCTGCTGTCAAAATCGAAAAAAAAAAAAAAAAAACATTTTGAAAGCAATAGGCAACATAAATTTTTAGTATAAAGATAGATCACCTTTTCATCAAAAAAAGGGTTTATATCAATAAAGTAGTTCTCCAAGTTCAGTTCTTCTTTAGGTTCTTCTCTCATCGTGCCTGGATAAAAAGATTTGCAGAAGAATGTCTTCAAATTAGAGCAACCATCAATATGAAGTTCATTTAAAGATGGGAATTTGATTGAATTCCCAGTGCCAAAAGTCACAAGTTTTGGCAGAACTTCAAGCTTCAGGTAGAATAGTTTAGGAAAGCTCATATCAATTATCCTTTCTTCTCCTTCTTCCCCTTTTGAGTCGATTATTACTTCCATTGACTTACAATTGCCAATCACAAGTTTATGGAGTTGGTTAAGACTTTTGACCATAGAGGATGAAAACAAAAATTTCAAGCCATTACACTCCTCCACGGTTAAGCTTTTTAAGCATTGACTATAAGAAGACATTGCCAAAGGTTGATCAAGCCATGTATTCTCAATATTAATTGAGCACAGTTTCAAGTTCTCCAATCTTGGAAAGACGACCTGTGGAAAAAACCTTGTTCGTAAACATAACTTATAAACTAATAAGAAAACTCCTTTTTACATCAAAATAAAATAAAAGATGAAAAATACAAAACATACCCTCATGTCAGAACCAATCTTTATGAATTGTGGTAGACATTGTAGTGTTAGAGAACACAACTGATTGAAGTCAATCTTATCATTTGTTTCAATTTCATCACCATGGTCTTTACTTTCTTCACCAAAAATCTCTTTTAGGTTCTTACAATCAATCACTTCAATTTCTTGTAGCTGAGTAAGGTTTTTTGCCATGGAGGATACAAAGAGATACTCCAATCTATCACATTTTTCTATTTTCATCATCCTTAATTTGCTGAACGACCTTGCATTGAGTTGGCCATGACATATCTTCTCCAAATTAATTAAATTACGAAGGATCAAGGACTCCAATTTGGGAAAGGCTAGATTCCAAGCACCTGACTTAATGATATATAAAAGCTCGAGACAATCTTTTACAAGCAGATGCTTCAAATGTGGAAAACCATCCATATCGAGTTCATAAAGAACATTTCTAACACCATTCATTTCCTCTAGAGAAAGATCTTCAGTCATCTTCAACAAAGCTTTAATCCCAGGCCCCAAACAAGTACTATTGTTGATCCTAAGTTTGAGCATTCTTGAAGTTGAAAGGTCATATTTATGGGACCACTTCCATTTATCTCCTATAAATATCTTATAACTTTTCAACTTCTTAAAGAACAAGTCTCGTGGCATAACTCCAGCATCCTGAATATGAAGATGTAAAGCTGTTAGGTTAGACAATCGTTTTAACTCTCCAAGACTAGCATTTCTTCGTCCTTGATTATCGACTCCTTCAACCTCCCATTGAACAAAGCTATTGCCCATATATAGCTCTTCTAATTGAGACAAGCAGGAGATGACATTTGGTGCAATTTGTCTAAGGTTTAAACAATGGCTCAAATCTAACAACTTCAACTGAGTCAACTGTCTGATTTCTCCAGGCAACTGCTCGATATCAGATCGCAGAAAGCTAAGGATCTCTAATGTCTTTAGTTCTCCAACTATTGCTACATCTTCTAGCTGGCACCCATCCAAACACAATGTTCGAATGTTCTTTAGGCAATCAAGTGATGAAGGTAATGACAAGAGATGCATTCTAGTCAAATCTAAAACTTTGATTTCTTTCATTCCTTCGAAAAAGACATATGGGATTTGTAGATTTTTGTTATTCATATCTAGAAAAAAGAACTTGAGTTTTGGACAATCCAACTTTTCGGGAAGCTCATCATAAATATCTCCAGACGGCACAACTATAGCAGTTGAATCTTTTTTCTTCTCCAGTACTTCCTTCAAGGTATTGACATTTTGAATATTAAACATTAACTTATCTGTTGCTGCAATCAATATAGCAACAGCATGAATAATGTCATGCATTTTAACTGCGTCGTCATCGTCATCCAACAATAAACAAGAAGCTTTCAGATGATCTATCAACCTATGCAATCTATTCCTTCCTTCTTCCAATGTATAAACATCTCGAAACAAACTCCAACCCACAGTATATTTCAATAAGTCATCAATGAACATATTATTGCCTGCATCTTTTAGAGCACAAAGAAGAAACAGTGTTTTTGCTTCCTCATTTTTCAAAAAATTGTAACTTAGTTCTATAGTAGAGTACAAAGTTTCATCCATATCTAGAATGCATCTTGGATTGGACCTGTTTAGTTGAGCAGAGACGTCTTTCCAAGCGTGAAGACTCTCATTTTTCAATGCATTTGCAATTGTTGAAATTGCAACCGGTAGACCTGCACATTTTGTAACTATCTGAATTGCTACAGGATGAAAATCAGGGCTTTCTGCAGAATCACCCACCATCTTTCGAAACAAATTCCATGAGTCTCCAAAAGATAAAGGACGAATAGAGATGTTCTTCTGAGTGTTCATATCTTTGTATAATACATCCAGATTTCTAGAAGTTAGCAATACCGTGCATCGCCTTATCTTGTCATCTTTTCCTTGTTTCTCAGCTCCCCTGAAAGGAATTCCAATTGCATCTAAGTCGACTTTCGTCCAAATATTATCGAATATTACAAGTACATTCTTCTCCTTCTTTATCCTATTTCGTTGTAAACCAGCTCTCTGATATTCACTCTCCTGCCCAAATTCCAGGCCTAAATCAAAAGCAATTTGTTCTTGAATTTTTTTGTAGTCTGGGTTTTGTGTTACCTCAGCCACAGCCACCTCATCAAATAACTTGTTTTCTTTGGTCAGCCAAGCTACTTGTTTCACCAGTGTGGTTTTGCCCACACCTCCCATCCCGTACACCCCAATCATGTTAACATTAGCATCCTTCAATGTGTTGATAATTTCCTGCAAAACTTGCTTTCTAGAATCAAAGGCCTCGTAGCTTCCAACATACATGGATTTTGTCTTCTGTAGAGGAGGAAGGTAGGAAACACTACTGAAGTCCCCCTTTCCACAGAGATCGGTGCCATCCATTTTGGCCTTCATTGCTTTTTTGCCAAGCCTGTAACGTTGAATCAAATTAGGACATGACCCCAGTTTGAAACAACAGCCCTTGTAAGCTTTATCTTCATCCTCAATGATGGATTTTGCTACCCCTTCAGTGAACTCATCCACGTCACTCAACCATTTTGTAACAACTTCATAAATCTCTTCCCCTCGTCTTTCAGCAGACTCTACAGGTCTCTGCACCATTTCTCTTTTATATCTGACCTCTTGAACTTGATTCTTGAGGCCGTTGATGTAGTTCTGGTACTTGAACACATAAGAGATCTGCTGTTTAAGCAAACCATATATATCTGATGTAGCCTCTTTTACAACTTCAGTGCCAACAGCCATAGCTAATTCTTGAGCCATTGTCTATTTCTTGTCAGATATTTATGAATACTGGATATAAAGAAAAAAAATGAAAAACGGTTGATGGGAAACAAAGAAAAAGAAACAGAGTTACTAAACAAAATACTTACAAGGAAAGTTGGGTAAATAGAATATAGCTTTAAGCAAACAGATCTCAGCTAGACAAGTGCACCTGCGAGTAAGAATCAAACAGACATGTAGTTATTAATCCCATACATCTATTAATATATTTTTTTTCTATCAATTTCAAGCTGAAAATAAGATTATTATGATTCATGATTTTGATTATTATGTGCAAATAAGAAATTAATATTAGTAAAAATAGGGTAATCTTTAATTAATTACATATTTAGAGATTCCAATACTATTCTTAAAAGAAGTGAAATCAAAGGTTAATTTATATAAATCTGGTGTTCTATAACAAAATCAACGCTAGAATTAAAACCCATTATTGATCCATGAATCTTTTTAACCAATGCAAAGCAACAATCCATGACACATTGTTGATTTATTATTAATTAAGCCGAACACTAGGGGAATTTATCTTACTACTTATTAGTGACTTAATATATACAATAGGGTAATCTTTAATTAATTACACATTGTTGTTTTATTAGTGACTTAATATATATAAGCAGTTTTGTTTTATATTTAGACAAATTTATATAATCCAAGAGATAGAACGTGTCGTCCAATGGGTTGTACTTAAACTTAAGTGGGATAGATAAGTATGCAAAAGTTGAATTGAGTAATTATATATCTTGTTTCTTTCTATCTTGAAGCATTATTTAGCCACTGAATGAGACAGCAAACACTACACACACCAACTAATGCTAATCATCTTAAAGGAAGCCAGATAGTTATGAATACTCCTGGATATAAAGAAAAAAGTGAGAAAAAGAAACAGAGTTAATAAGCAAAATACTTACAAGGAAAGGAAAGCTCCACAAACATAATCTTAGCTTCAACCAAACAGATCTCTGCTATCAGAATCAGAAAAGTTGAGAATGATGCTGGAAGGGGCGGACCCAAGAATGAAACTTAGGGGGGGTCAAAGGGTAAAGTAACAATTAACATAAATATAAATATTTGTTTTAATAAAATTCTCATTAACTAATATATTTATAATTGCTCTCGACGAGATTTCATCTTTTGAAAATATTATGTAATGACTTTATTATCAATACTCTCAAATACATTCTTCTTTATATACACAACTAAACTATCATTCAATCATTAATCACTCATTCTACTTCGCAAACGATTCTTCACAACATTCATTGCTGAAAATGCTCTCTCTACACTAGCAGTGACAACCAGTAAAATCAATGCTAATTTTATCAACATATAAACTAATAGAAACACTCTACCCTTCTTAGTTTCAACCATCACTCTTGCAAGATCTCCAATTCCATTCAATTCCATAAATTTGACATTAGAGCGTACATCTAAAATGTAAATATCAAATTGAGAATCAAACGCTATGAGTTCTACGTTAGAAAAATCTTCTAGATAAAGTTAAGCAAGGCGCATCAATTTTTGCTTATCAAAAGCAACAAAATTTTCATTTGGACATAAGCATGCCAAACAAATAAGCAATTCAATGGTTACCTCATTGAAATGATTATTCAACTCTTGAAGCTGCATATCTAGGGCGCTAAAATACTTCAATACGGTAATAATGCACGTTTGTGATACCTTTAATCTTCTGTTATGATCGCCCTTGAATAAAAAAATTGTCATCTATATTTGGAATATCAATGTCATGTTTGGCACAAAAAGAACAAACTTTGCTAAGTAAATTCTCCCATCTACTATCCCTCATCAATTGTAAAGCTTGCTTACACGCTTCAACCAAATTCATAGCATTTACAATATCATGATCTTTTTTTTATAGTGCTTGAGAAAATTCATTTGTAAAGCTAAGTAAATCTTTCATCATAAATAGACTAAACACAAAATTAAATGATTGCATAAATTTTAATATATTATTAGAGAAATAGGGATTGAAGAGATGGAGCGGGCCGTTGTACAAAAGAAAAAGTTGGGATTGTGGAAAAAAGGGGGAAATATATTATTAGAGAAAGTCAAAATTTTTAATTAATTTAATTTATTATAATTTTGTGATTTAGTTTTTTTATAGGGCAAAATTGAAAAAAAAAATTAAAAATAAAACCCAAGTGGGGTCACTTGACCCCACGTGACCCCATGTGGGTCCAGCATTGCTGGATACTATCCCTTTTTTTTTTTTTTTTTTTTTTTCTCGGATACTGAATATAAGGTAAATGTGATTAAATGACAGAATTGAAAGCGAACCGGAGTAAATAAAAAAACGAAGAACTGAAGCAACAGAGTGTATATTAAAACAAAATATTTAAAGGGAAATTAAGAGTAAAACAAGTGCAGCTTAATGGCTTAATCTGAGAGTAAGAGCAAAGTGTTCAAGGATCAGATTGAGTGTTTGTTTCTCTTCTCTGTGAGCAATAATAAGCAACAAAGATTGATGAAGTGTTGAATGGTAATAGTAGATTGATAAAGTCTTTCTTTAATTTCCACAGAAACAACACTATTTTCATAAAAAAATATAAAGACAAAAATGCCTCGCAGGAATTGATAAAGCGTTGAAGAGCTCTGTTTTGCTTTGTTTATTCTCAGTTTTGATAGATAAAAAGTTTAATGAAAGTTTAATGTTGTGTGGAGAAAAGTTTCGATGTTATCATCCCTCACCTACTTAAGGTTTGGGAAAGAATTAGAGCTGCTCCAAATATTTGAAAAATTGTCCCTAACCTCCCACAAGTTTTGACATAATTTCTTCAATCCTCTTGATATAAGATATCGTCGTTTAAGCCATCAACTAATATAGTAGACACCTTAAATTTCCATTTTCTCTCTACCGAAACAAAACCTTCAATTTCTTTCCAGTTTCTCATTAACCAAACAATACCCATCACTTTCTTTTCATTGTCCAATGAATCAAATAAATCCTTCCACTTTCTTTCCATTTTCTCTTCAACCTAAGTTACCTAACAAATAACAACTATATATATATGTGTGTATAAAAGAACATACCGAAGTATAAAAAATCTAAAAGCGATTATTACTGTAAACCCCTCGAATTTTCCCTAAAACCGATCAATTCTCTATTCTGTAAACCCAAGTGACAGTTCTATCAAGTATTTTATTTGAATCTTCCAGTTCTCCGTTCTTTTATCCTTTACTCCATGCAAATTTAATTTTAAGGCTTCCCAAAGATGATTTCTTGTTGTCTTACAGAAAAAGGGTTTTTATGGCTTTATAGATGAAATTGTTCCTCCTGGAAATATTATCTAAGAATGAAGTGAGTCCTAATCATAATGAATTTCTAAATAATGTTTGAAAGCCTGCTTTGGAAATAATATGAAATAAAAGTAATGAGCGGTAAAGTAATTTATTTGTATTGTTTGATACGACAGAAAGTAAAATAGGAAAGCATTCCTATTATATATGTACAATATCTTTGTATGATTTTGCTTGTGACCTTTCACGACAACAACCAATTGAAGAAATAATTGAGTACGTAAACAGCAACCAATTGAAGAAATAAAAAGTAAAGTAGATTCAATAAATTAAGTAAAGTAAATACTTCAATCAAAGTTGCTGGTGACAAACGTGGGAAGTGGAAACAGAGGCCCATCATTCAACAAGAAGGAAGACCAAGACTTTAGTAATTGTCATTTTAAACTTAGTTTTAAAGCCGTTCATGCATCATCACCTTGGTTTCGAGAGAGGACTTAATACTTAAATTTACCATCACACACCTGATCAATCAAATCTCAAGTTTAAAAAAGAAAAAGAAAAGTTTTTGCTCTGTTTTTAGATTCTTATAAGATGAAGCTTTTGTTCCTTTTTTCTTTGTGTTTCTTGATTTCACAGTTCACTTTTTAGGTGAATATAGAACCAAATACAAAGACAATATCAGTTAACATAGCAGCAAAAATATGATCAGAATATTAACAGATTTCTTAGTTATTTTGATTCTGAATAAGGCCAATGAGAGCGTTGGGTCTTGAAGCTTAGCAAAGTAAAGACCTAGGGAGGCTTCTAGGCGAAGTAAGACTTAGGGAGGGGCAGCAAGGCCGATGAGGGCACAGTAGCCATAGAGGGCTCTCTCCCAAAACTTAGGGAGGGGCAACAAGGTCAATGAGGGCGGGAGCTCTCCCAAAAGGCCAACAAGGGCATTCGGTCTCGAAGGCTTATAGGGTCTGACAGGCCTCTAAGCAAAGTAAGACCTAGGGAGGGGCAATAAGGCTGATACGGGTGGGGTAACCAAAAAGGATGGGTGCTCTCCCAAGAGGCCAACGACGGCATTGGGTTTGGAAGCATGGAAAAGCAAAGACCTAGAAAGGCTTCTAGGCGATGTAAGACCTAGGAAGGGGCAGCAAGGTCAATAAGGGCTGGGTAATAAAAAAGGGTGCTCTCCTAGAAGGCGAACTAAGGCGTTGGCCAATGAGGGCAAGGTAACTGAAGAGGGTAGACGCTCTCCCAAAAGGTCAACGAGGGCGTTGGGTCTCAAAACATGGCGAAATAAAGACATGGGGAGGCTTCTAGGCAAAGTAATACCTAGAGAGGGGCAACAAGGCCGATGGAGTTGAGGTAACTGAAGAGAGTGGGCGCTTTCCCAGAAGGCTAACAAGGGCATTGAGTCTCAAAGCATAGGGGAGTGTGGCGTTGGGTCTCAAAGCATGGGGAAATGTTAAGATTCCATATTGGAAAGGAATGTGAGGGTTACTTGGTTTATAAGGAGTTGGGCACCTTCCCTTGGCAAGCTAGTTTTCCAAGGTGACTTTTACCCTACCACCTAGACCCTTGTTTTCTAGGGCCTAACAAGCTTCTAGGCGAAGTAAAGACCTAGAAAGGGTAGCAATGCCGATTAGGGTGGGGTAACCAAAAAGAGCAAATGCTCTTCTAGAAGGCCAACAAAGGCATTGGGTCTCGAAGGCTTCTAAGGCCTGACAAGCTTC